CCATTTGCCAAAACAGAAACCTACCAAAGGTAGAGAGCACAAATTAATCTACCGGTGCCATTTGCCAAGACGGAAACCTACCAGTCCAGCGTAGGCTATTTATTTATTTCTCCAATCAGTCCAAAATGAGAAAAATGCACATCATATTTATCAACTACCACAATGATTCCCCATCAAAAGTCAATAATAATAATAATAATAATAAACTAAACAAAACAAAACAAAGCAAAGCCAAAATCTACCACAATGATTCACATCTATCTAACAAATTGTAGGGCCCATGATATCCGTATTTCTCTCAATCTATTTTTTTTTTCTTTTCCTTTTCAGCATATACTTACGTTTCCACATGCATGTTTTCTTACTCTATTTATAGACAGCAGAGGATAATGGAGAAACGCCATACATGAAAATGGAGTTTCGTTTCCTCCTCTTCCTTGCAGTACTGATTCCATTTTTAGCTTACTTTGAAGGATCAACCGCGCTAAATCGGAGTAGCTTTCCTGATGGTTTTATCTTCGGAGCAGGATCGAGTGCTTATCAGGTAGGCCATTTAATACAACCACTGCTTAATATTGGAGAGGCTTAAATCTCTTTCTTTATTCTCAAATCAATATTTTATAGTTGAGACCAACTTGACTAAACTCTTGTTAGTTTATAGAATGATTGTTAATTTACTTTTAGTTAATCCAAATCAATGTTAATCAAACTTTCAGTTGCTGTTGCCTTCCTTTTATTAATTAACCTCTCTTTTAATTAAAATCAGTATGAAGGGGCGACAAGTGCAGATGGGAGGCAACCTAGCATATGGGATACTTTTGCGAAGTTACATCCAGGTATCTCTCAACATATCTAAATCTCTTACTTGTCTTAAATAGATGCTGGTGTTTTAGAATAAGAAAAAAATTGATGTTTGCATTTGTGACGAAGAAGAGAGTAGTGGTACTCAATCTATCAACATCTGTTTTGTGTATTGGAACATATTTTATCATTCTTAACTTTTTAATAATAATTCCTCTTTGTACGGAAAAAATAAAAACATCTGTTTTGTAAATTACATCGCAAAGACAAGGCCTACACTCTTTATTCCCCATTTTATGTGGGTTAAGTGATGTTGTGTCGTTTTTTTTTTTTTTTTTCAGCAGTGGTGTGTCTCGTGTAGGTTAACTATAAAGCTGCGGTTGAAATGGTTTTGTAGTTTTTTCCTTTTCTTTATTGTTTAAATAAAATGTTTATTATATTAAAGTACGAGGCATATTTCTACCTTATTTATATATATTATATATATTATATTGTTATTGCAAGTTAAACATCCACGTTTAAAAATCATCCAGTTTCTCAACCCGCACCGATGCCAACTGACCGAGATGAACGAAAAAGACCAAATAGATTTTGTCCTTTCATGCTGTTACCCAAGTAAGTTGCCATAAAACTTCCTTCACACTGCCGTACACTGATATGTATATAAATACCCACCAAGCTAAAATCTTCAGGCACACATTGTAAGATAATGAACACTGCACAAACACGTGATCTGCATCAATCTTAAGACGTATTTGGTTTTTCTCCTAAGTTTCTTTCATATAAGGATATTTAGGTATCTTATGAGGTTTTTTATGTATTTTTGTATTTTACCCTTCCAGGAAAAAAATTATTAAAGTTGCCTTTTTTAATCTTTATTTTTCCTAACATAATTTTCAACCAATAAATTTTTTTACTCAAACTTTTTAAAGAAAAAATTTCTCCTGACTTTTCTTATATGGTATATAACTTTTTTTTACTAACTTTTCTTATTTTAATTTTTTATCAAATATAAAAAATAAATAATTTAATAAAAATTCAATAAAACTTTATTATAAAATGTTTTAATTTTCATACAGTATTTTTTAAAACTACTTTTTTAGTAAAGAAGTTTTTTAATAAAATTAGCCTCCTCCAAGTAAGCTCTAAGCGTTAGAAATCGAGAACACACGGATAAATATTTTTGTTCCCAGATAAAATATCCTACCGTTTTCTCACATTCCTAAACACGCCATTAGAATTTTATTTGATCTATCCGCCAATTTAATTGGTTAAATTGATAATATATATGTATATATATTTTATTTTGATTGCACAATAAAATATAACAATATCTCATTTTTTATTTTATTTTATTTACATGTCATATAATTTGAATTTAAAATTTTTTACTTTTAACAGAAAAAAATGACCATTAAATTTGTTAACGTTAAATTGATCATATTCAAAAGCGTGATTAATCTACTTCTTTTTTGGTGGAAAGTCTCAGTCCACCAAATTAGTTTCCCGTAATGTCAAAACGAATATATACAAAAATGCGTAAAAGAAAAATATAAGAATGGGTAAATAAACAGAATAAGGGCCCACCAACGAAAACTTTTAAATCCGTCAAATATAAGGCTTGACTTAAACGTCATCTTCGTATCAACCCCATAAATTTCTTATTTTTAGTTAATATGTAACCAATCCACGGTAGTTGAGCACGTAACAGGCGAAAGGGATATATATATATATATATATA